ATATATATATATAATAAATTAAAGAATGTGTTTTCGCGTCAGCTACATATTTTCAGTCACCACTTGGTCCGTTACATTAATTACTTACATACAAATTCGTCGTGTGTAAAATTACAATATACATATATAAAGATTCCTGTGATACACGCACTGCAACTGCAGTCAATAAAAACATTAACGAAGAAAGCTCAAGGCAGTATGAATTTCATATCTTTCAATACTAATTACGCAAGGTAAAGGTAAAGAAATTTGATCAGCTTTGTATTGGCTTGCCTCGTCAATGCTCCATGAGAAGTATCAATCTTAAGTTGGCAAAGTGACACGCAACAAAACGACAGGGACCATATTCTTGTAAAATGTCGCATATCAAAATGGATGAAAATATTATAATATACGCTACGTATATTATAAATTTCTATAATATTTTCGTATACAATATTATTCAAGAATAAGGTCTTTAAACATTGTTTACTGTTATACCGGTGGAGGTCCATTCGGATAAAAAGCTATTGGCGTAAAGCTCCTCGCGAGATTATTAGAAAGCATACAACTGTAGTCTTCTTCTGCAGATGGTACCAGAGATGCGACGCCAAGCAGTAACAGCATCAATGCTTGGATTGGAAGAGAAACTCGTAGAACACGTCCTAAGAAACGATAACCACGTGCCAATACCGTTTGGTCTCTTTCGTCACCACTGCAACAGATTTCCAATAATGGAATATTAAATAAGATTAACTCGTTGAAATGATGACAACTAATTTTTCTTACAAATGACAGAACTTTATTTATCTATCTCAATCATTAAATAAATATGTAATTATCACGATCATCTTTATGATAAATAAAATTCTATCATAAAACTAATCGACAGATATTATCACGAAAAAAGAAACAACATACTCTGTGCCGGTGGCGTGAGGCTGAGCAGTCCCAGAGGCAGCTTCGTCGAGCAGCTACAGTTCAACAAAACAGAAAACACAAACAATAAGATACTGTGCAAGTGATTACTACGAATAACTTATATGCATGTAAGTGCCATCGTGATGACTTCTCATCATCGAATGACGCTTCTCGTTCTGAAAAATTTGTGTGATTTTTACTAATTTGTGCAATAATCTACAATAAATCATACACAGATGTAGAAATAAAAATATTAAGATCGCTTTTTATCCAGTAACATCACCGAGGAGATATTATTAAAGACTAACATATTAATATGAATTAATGTGACCAATATGACCACTCCGGGGAATGAAAATTGAAGAATGCGGACATTATTGTCAACTGTTTTTGCAGTTCTGAAGATAAATAATGAGGATTTTGTCTTTAATTATTGTTTTACCATAAAAATATATTTTTAGATTTGTATATTTCTAAAATAGTGATTAGAAAAAGTAAAATCTTCATTATGGGATCATTAAACATAATGTTTGTTCTTCAATTATCACCGAGCTTTCAGAACTCTTTTGATGATTGATGAAAATTTGTCTAAGGTTATTAGTCTTTAATAGTATCTTGTCGCAGTGATAACATATAAAAGTGAAATCGTGAAATCTATCAAGTACCTCACCTCTACTAAGTTAGCATTAATAATAAACACATTTTCATCAAATTATTTGAAGGTGAAGAGTTTAATAGATTGAAATGTTACATGGCTTTTAAGACGGAAAGCGATTGATAGTGATTGAAAAAAATCATACTTAGAAATAAATCAAATAGATGTAACGAAGTAGCAGCGAAAAATCAAAATTTGAGAAAACAAAGTTTGTTTTACATTACTGAAAATCTCATTGATCTAAACCTTTGATCACTTTATGATCAACTGATTTGACTTATATTTTATGATAAAGCTAAGAATCGATCTGATATCTATTGCCGAAAACAGAAAAGAAGCCATTTTTAAGAAATTTTACAGACAATCAGAACGGAGAACCAATACTATAAAATTATAAAATAGTTTACTACACTGCACTTTAATAAACATGGAATATGTATGTCTTTTTCTAATGTTTTAAAGCGAATTAATTTTTATAAGATAATATTTATTATAATGATAGTATTAATGAAAGTTACTTTGTGTATCATACATATTTCTCGTATAAAAAAGAGATGTATTTTTATTATAAATTATATTATAAAAATTTATGATTGTAATCGTACGATTTCACGCATTTATGCGCATGCGCCGCCATGTCAGTTTTTAGATCGTGCCATGTCTGTGTCGAAATCGAGGTGAAATCGTTCCGCGTTTTTTACCCGCATTTTCTGTGTAAAAATGACCCGCACGCGAAATTACAGGTTCAAACATAGAATTCAGTGCTCAGACTATTATTGTAATATATTAGTTAACGCGCGCTGTCGTAATTAACAATGATTCATTCGAATTTTCATTCAACAATTCGGATCTTTCTGGAATATTTCTCTCGCTTTTATAGCGTCTATCATAAAGTTGGAGTGGAATTAGCATCGATCAGAAGTTCATTATTACATTTCAATAATAGCGGATAGATGGCGGTAAGTTTATTTACACTTTGAAGTGTCATAATTAAGGTTATCGTTAAAAGCTCTTGATCAATGTATCGATAAAATGTTTTAATTCTTCGGAACAATGTAAGCAACTCACTGGATCTCATCAGACGAGACACTCGTACGTATTACGTAGTATATTTAGCCAAAATAATTTATTCTCGGTACAATAGTCATTATGCATTTTATAAAATTTTGAATGTTTTATTTCTTGATGTTAGAAAGTCTCAAAGCGGGAGACGCTTTGAGACTTTCTAAGCTGGAAAGCTAATTAATAAGCTTTCCACAAACATACATATACCATTGTATGAATGTGAAAGAATTAAAAGAAAATATCCATTACATCAGATCTTATTTATAACAATTTTCAGCAAAAATAATTAGAAATCTTCTTTTCATTTTTAAATACTTTTGCTCTTAAATTAATATCAAAGTATATTATATGTATAGGTGCTTTTCAGCAGGAGACACAGATGACACATTGTAATACATTGTGAATCATTACAGCCTTCTTGTTTGTCAATGTTAAACAAAAATGAAATAAACTGAGTTATACTATATCTATTGCTGGAAAGCACCATATATCTCAATGTTATACATCAACTACATTTGGTGTCACATTATCTATTAAAAAATCTACTTCAGGCTTATACGAACTTAACAATAATAAATAGATTAATGAATTAATACCATGGTGATTGCTTTGATTACAGATAGATTTATTGTACAAGAGGAAATAATTAGAACTTACATCATGTGAGAGAGATGCAAGAGATGTAGACGTAGCAGCGAGACCGATATCCCGTGGGTCCAGCCCGAGGGCAGCTCCTAATTTAAGGGCATAGATTCCTGTGAGTCTTCTTAATGACTGTAACCTTAATCGCAGTTCTTGCAGACGCGTTCTAGTTTCTATCTGTTCATCCAAAAGATGATTAGTTGCATCCTGTAACGATATTACTCGCGGCTCGCAACGCTCCAGATCACTTCGCAGTTCCCTAAAATAAGAATAAAATAATTTTAAAATAGATTTTGATATATTATTTGCTATACAAATTTTCTATACAAAAAAGCTACTTTGATATATTTCATTTATTGATAGCGTTGATTTGCGAAAAAATCGATAGAGATATTTACCTAAATTTATTATATTTTGCTTCTAGGATATTGCTAGATTCGGTCAAATCGATTGGTTCGCTTGCTCTAATGCTGATCTCAGTGCGTTCGAGCCAACTTAATAATTCTTCTATAATACGATAAAATTGGCGATTCGTCATGAGGGCGTGCTGCAACTGATCCTGCCATTCCACAGCAGCTGTACAAATTTTCTCCCATCTGCTGTTTGCCACAGCCAATCTGTCACGAAGCTCCTTCGCACGTTCCGTATCTTCAGTATGATCGACTAGGTGAGTACCGACTATATTCAGACTCGTTACAATACTCCTATGACTGTCGAGATCCAATAGAAACTCGCGATGATCCTGAATTACATCCTCCAATTGTTCTATATTATTGGGCGGCGAATGCTGCTCACTCTGCGTACCCTCGGCGTACTCCAACCATTTGTCCAAACGCCATAAATCATTGTCCAGTTGAGCCCAATTACGACGAGAACATAATGGACAGGTCAATCTGCCACTATCACTGCAATGATTGTGATAATTGTGATTATAATCAATATATTCGAAATTATAACTATAATTTAATTAATAAATGTTTTAAGATCATATATTTAGCATAAATTATATGACTATTTCTGTTTGCTAAAGTTGCAAGTAGTTCAATTTTGTTTAATTAGAGATTATGAATTAATTTATGAAAGTTGAGAAGATTTATTAGGTACACAAAATTTTTTATTATATAAGAAACATTAAAACTTTTAAGTTTTTCGGGAATATTTTTATTAGTAAAATAAATTTATAAAATAAATTTATTTTATTGAATTTAATTGTTATATAGTTACTCACTGGTCACATGGAAAAGCATAAGCATCTGTGACTGGCGATCTGTATATGATAAGGGATAAGCATTATTATAATTGGCTAAGCGTTATTGTTCGCATTAAAAATTATTGCAAGGCAGTGTTAATGCATCTATATTAGCAAAAGAATGAAGCTTAAATAACACAAAGAGAAAAGCGTTCATGATACGAATCGTAACAGTATAATAATATATTGTACTTTATTAATTGTTTCTTCAGTATTAGTTGTGAATATTAAAAATGACATAAATGGATGATTACCTACATATAAGATATTGTTAAAATTGAATATCATACAAATATATGCAAGAGTTATCAGTATTATATACATAATCTTATTAGTGTATATAAGTTATTAATTATTTTAGGATATTGTGTTTTAAACTTTCAGAAAGTAAATCATATTAATAAGATAAAAAGAAAGTTTTATGCGTGATGTAATTAAAATCGTGTATTTACAGCAGGCGTGCCCAATACTTTACTCATGAATAAACGTTTCCATCTTTCCATTATCTCGTTGAATGAGATAGAGAAAAAACAAAAACAATGTTAAAGCTATCTCATGAGATAGTTTATTCTTTTTTGTTTTTACATTGTCTTGCTCAATGAAACAATGAAGAAATGAAAGCGTTTTGCGAGTAAAATATTGAACAAGCCTGATTTATATATATTATCTACAGCTTTCGCAATTTAATTAATTTTTTTCTATAAATATTTTTTTCTCTAAATTTGCGCTCATATGATGAAGATTAATTTATTAAAAAATTTTATTGCAATCTTTGCTTATTACAAAACCTAAAATGCATTAGATATTTAAACATTGAAGTGAGCGTGAAAGAAACTTTACCTGAGCTCTCTGATTTGCTGTTCACGTGCTCTTGCTAGTGCAATGAGTGTTTCGTATCGAGCTATTAGTGTTGTTACCTCACTACTTTTAGCAATTCCTAAATTCAATTTGTCGTCTTCCATGAGCAGATTATGAAGGTGGCGTACCAGTTCTATCGAGGACTGGCAACTTCCGATTAGTTTAGCCTGTAATAATCCCGTGATATTTTAATAAAATAACAAAAACTATACTTAATTGAAAATAAAATTCTGAAAATAAAAATCTTACGATAGTTTTAGCAGCCGCATTGAGCCCAGGACCGGAAACGGGATCAGGTGTTACCGTTGCTTCCAAAGCACTTAGGGAATTGTTGCATTCGTTCAGGGCAGTTTCCAATTCCATCAAATATGCATCACATGAAGTCATTCTGATAAGTCTTGGTAGAGTGTCTACTTGAACCGCGGTATCTCGCTCAAATTTCAAAGTTTCTACCTGCACGGCCTCGTCGACTTCCGATCTTTCTTGCGTTTCCAGTTCCGCTTTCAGCGCGATTACTCGTGACTTGATATCCCGCCATAAAAGTTGATATTCGTCTACTAGTTCCTGAATTGCGGCCACGTCGTCAGGATTGCTCTCCTGCATAACTCGTAATGCTAATTCGTCTGCTTTGCGTAGCGTAATGTTTTGAGTATCGAGCTCTTCCTCGATTTCACTCAACTGTTGACGCCTTCGTCGCAACGATGCTCTTTGCTCAGGTGTGGCGAGATGTTGCATTTGCGTTAGGCGTACATCCACCTGCGTCAAGCCCATTACTGCAGTACCATGTGTGGATACGAACTCGCGGTAAGTCTTTTGTTCCCGTTGAATGCTCGAGATAATGGCGTTGATTCTTGTCTCTAGAACCAACCATCTATCAATGATCTTCCGTGTCTCGGCCGTAAGAGATCTAAAGTTGTCGGTATCCAATCCGGACTTGGCGAGACGTCCAAATATCTGTTCTAGGATTTTCAAGGCCTTCTGATGAGCTTCGATATCTTTGGCGATCAATTTAGCTTTCTCGGTTATTTTTCTTGATTCTTCTTTCGAGATCTCTGTAAGATCGTTCTCTAATTCCAACAGAGATTTCTCTGTTTTTACTAACCATGGTTCATGCTCGCATCTGGTTTTTTCCAACTCTTGCAACAACTTCCAAATCATCATGATTTTTCGCTTGCGCTCGGTAGATTTAATGCACACAGCTTTCCATCGTTTCTCTAGATTTTCCATACCGTTCTTTATCAGGTCCATGTTAAAAGAAGCTTTCCACGTGTCGCAATCGTTTAACAAGATTTCACATAAATTTAGCACCTCGCCGATATTACCGCTTTCAGTCTCAATAGTGATCTTGAGATGGTCGTGATCTTCGAGCTTTTTATCGATGTTTTTCTGTGTGAATTTTTCAATAATGATAACTTCTGATAGCTGACTTTCGATGCCGGTCAGCCAAGTTCGTAAATCAGCTATCCTCTTGAGCAATGAGTTCATAGTTTGAATTAGATCGATCAGCTTGTTAGCTCTTGCTTTACCGCCGGCCATTAGACGATTCCACTTCTCGTTGACTTCGTCTAAGGATTGCTGGAGTTTTGCTTTCTCTGTCTCTTCGGCGACTTCTATTAGCTCTTGCCCAGTATTCTGCAACCACTCGAGTTCGCGCTGTTTCAAACTCATCTCCGTCTGTAATTCGCATTCAAGTCGCTTCAATGCCTCTTCAGGTTCGTCCAATGCCATCGTGTCATGGTTCTGCATTCTGGTCACTGCATCTTCCATCCACGACAACAATTTATTTAATCTGTTTTCCCATCGACCATGAAGAGCACAACGTTCTCCGAGTCTATATGATAATAAAGCTAATTGGTATTCAAGATCGCCGTGTTGTTGCGTCAGAAGCGCGTCTTGTTGATTTAATGTCTTCATGTCACTCGGACTCAAACATTCTCTCAATTGTTCCGTGATTACACCAAGAGATTCCAAATTGCGTTGCGCGTTAGCTAGGCGAGTTCTCAAATGTTCAAGAGAGTCGAGTTGTTCTTTCGTCCTGGATAGACTTGTTAGTTCCGCATGGAAGCCCGCGCTTAATGTTTGGCTAATTTCCTGGAAGGTCATGACGATCATCTCAGATTGCTTGACATGTTCTTCATGCAATTTCTGTACTCGTTGAACGAAGTCTCTCCAGGTTTCCAAACCGGCTCGCAAATTTGCGATCCGTTGTACGTTTGCAGCATGTTCCATGCGTATCGAGACGGCCAGCGCCTCGTCGCAATTAGTTAGGAGGTACTCCTGTTGTTCCTGAAGAGACTCTATCTGACTCTCGCCAACTGGCATCTTGTCCAACAGCGCCTGAATTCTTTGCAGAATCTTTTCAAGCCTTCTCAAATGGATGAATTGTAGGTTCATGCGTTGCCGTTCTCTTTCAACTTCCTTTAACCACGTCAACAATTTTCTTTGATCTAATTTATATCTATCCCAGGCCGATATTCTGTCACGCACTGTCGTATGTCGCTCCAATATTCTCGCCAATGTCTCATTGTGAAGATTTGTTAAGGCATTGAATTGCTCGGTAACCGATCGATCACGATCTTCCTCTTGTCGCACCGTTAAAATGAGATTCTGCTGCTCAGGCAAAAGTTTTCGATGAACCTCGCAGAGATTCCGATGCTCCGATAAACTGTTATAATCACCAGGCATACCGCTCGACAGAAAATCTTGCACATGCGTCAAATATTCTTCCCAAAGCTTTAACGCAGCAATCACGTCTTGCGAACGAATTAATCGTGTCGACAAACGGTGATACTGCTGGAAGGTTTCTTGAAATACGCGTTGCCATAACTGGACCACCTCAACCACCGACGGTTCTTGCACGGAAACATCTAACGCGCGATCCTTGATGGATTGAAGCTGCGGCTCGGTTCGAGTTAACGCGAGTAGATGATTTCGTAATACCGTCAGTTGTTCGTTAGACTCGCCTTGACCCACCGCTGTTAGACTCTGAAAAATATACGGACAAGCTCTTCTGAATACGATCGATTATTTGACGGGTTCTTTAAAAAATGGACAGGGAAATAGAAAAAAATTTATGAGTTAATTTGACGCGCATGAATGGTTCCGTGAATTCTCGACACGTCAATCGATGCACTGATTAAGTTCTTACTAAGCTTCGAAGGAATCGTGATTTAACAACGTAGCAACGTTGTTATATTCTCCTAGCAAGTAGGATCGTATTGAATCGCCTTTATCTGTCGATCGACGTTGACGATGCACGCCGTAAATTCCGTCAGGAAACGGAACTCGGCGCGGCGCCGCTCTCAAGTTCGAAAGTTTCGGCCGACGCTGTGTGCACGAGTGTTGCAGCCATTCAGCTGTTGCGGATTTCGTGACTGATGTAATTGCCACCACGGGTTAAGCCCTTCGGCCTTGACATAACAAATTGTTTCGGAACTACCGCGATTAAAATATAAACGCGCGTGCGAAGCGATGATCGAGGTTGTGCCAAGCACCAATGGTGCGCCGCTCAACAACTGATGGACGCGTTAGTACGTCAGACTAAAGCGACCTAACGCCGCGGTTCTAACTATCACCTTCCAAGCGCAGGGGAACATGTACATCGATCCTTGAAAAATGTTTTAACTGTGAGAAATTCGAGGAAGGTCTCGTTCTTCAAGGTCCTGAAGCCTTTCGCACATACGTGCCAGGATTAATCAGCACATCGGACACACACACTCGAGAAAAATATGTGAAACTATCATCATGTATATGCTTATAATTCTATTTCGACATGAAAATTGCAATATCTTATACTTGTTATAATTTATTGTAATAAAATTATTTTTCTTTGTTTTATATTAGGGATAGAGAAAAGAGTTTCTTAAATCTATAGTTTCTTTTAAATCTTTATGAGATAACTATCTTGACATTATCTCATAATGTTCGAGTATTCGAGTTAAAACGAATGAAAGATGCTTGACTTGCATGCAGTTAGACAGAAACAGATGCAGCATGAACGGAGGTATGTACCTGTTGGACCGAATCCAGGAAATTTTTCGTCTGGCATAGATCACCGCGGGCAAGTTCCTGGTTGAGGACACGGGCATCCACCGTGTCCGCGAGGGTCGACAAGGTTTCTCGAACATCTTCGAGTCGTTGACCTAGCGCTTCAACTTCGCAGTGCAGCGGTCCACCAGCGTCCAAACCCACATCCGATGCGATCTGTGCCACTAAACCGCGTAGTTCCGCTAGTCTTTCTTTGTGCTCCGCCAGTGTCTCCTCGCAAACCTAAAACAAGTTTAAAATATCCAAGTTTTAACACATCTGCGTTCCACTCAAATTTTTCACGCGAAAATCTTTTTTCTTTAATTCTTCATTTTTCAAATATAATGTGACCAGAACCTATATTCTGTAACTGTTTTATACGGCCACCGACAACTATCGATAGGCGTGCAAAGATAGTTACGGAATTGTCTAGCATGCGGAACATATAAATTTTATATCATTCTTATTATTTTATGTTATGCATTTTTTATAATATTTATACATTATTTCCTAATTTTAGATTATATTTGTACTTTTATCATATTGATGGTATGAATTAACTCAGCATATTCAAATATTAATGCAATTATTTCTCTTGCTCAAAATGCAGTCAAGCGAGGAAGATCTAGAACGGATCTAAAGTCGTCTACATGAAGAGCACGTATTTATTCCTCTCTATCGATATTTATAGACGTACAATGTATATCTATTACCCCTTCTACGTAGATACTAAGTTTACTATGAAAATACTATACTGTACACATTTTTCAGAACTTTCGTTATCATACCTTAATTCTCGTTGAGAAACGCATTTTATTTAAAGAAATTATCTAAAATGTATTATTGAGTCGAAAAATACCAATTATTTTTTATATGTTTCGTAATTCATACATTTTAATTCTTTTTGGTCTAGCAGCACATTCTTCTCAGATTATAATTTTTATTTCATTAGCTAATTCGCTAATTATCACGCCTGAAGTCGCAGAAAGGATCGATACATCTGTTGCGACTGTATCTCGACAATTAAATACTCGAATCCGCAAGTATTTGAAAAGGTCTGAATAGTTGTAGTCACGTTCAAGCGATGAACGTATTGATTCAATTTGTATTACTCGATATCTGTGGTATAGTATTGTTATACGTGGAATGTTGAGATGAAATATATCAAAAACAAAAATATAAGCTAACATCTTTTTTCTTTTTATATCTACATAAGGATCGCAATGTTTGAAAAACGCGCTTCGGTGGAGTAAAAAAGAATTTTTTTCATCGAACTGTTTTAACGATGACTATAGATAAATGAATGCATATATCTTGTAACACGCACACACACACACACACACACACACACACACACACACACACACACACACACACACACAC